GTTGTTGGCTTTGCCAAAGGCTTACTTATGCAAACCTCTCTGCAAACGGGACATAAATTTGAGGCATGGAAATGCGTTGTAATGCATGCCTTATGGAATATGTGTCCACAAGTCACCCTATGTGTTTCCAAATCCTGTAAGTTGCCCTTGCATAAAAAGCAAAGGTCAGTTGCCGATTCGGCACTGGTTTCTGTAGACCGATTTAGTGGCATCTCGAAGCTACTATTAATACTTCAATGCATATGCAAGCAAAACACTTGCAAGAATAAATGCAAAACAAAATCCCAAATCAAAACAGCGAAACTAAAATGTCAACAAAACCAAAAAAGAAATGTTGTTGTTGTCTGCACGTCAACAAAACTATTGCTGCAGCTTAAGATATAGGTACAACAAACCCAAAAGCGAAAAACTAAAAATTAAACCTAAAAAAATAAATATAGCGAAACGGTAACGATCAAAAACCAAAAGTCTATGATTTCACGCTTAACCAACAGCATATGTAGAGATTCTTATCAGTGTTTATCAGCCTGTGTACGTATGTGTCTGCTTCCCAAAGCGGGGTAAGAGGAAAGAACACTGGTGTTTGTCGTAAGAACAACAACGCCAAACTCAACGCAAGCCAACGCTTGGCCGGTATGACGGTGTTATTCTGATGCCAAACCTACGTGACCTTGTCTTCATTATGAGCCGTGGCCAGGCGGCAATTACAGAAAATTAACCCAGCCTGTATTCCTAAGCACCCCATAACGCAAACAAAAAGTCTTTAGAAACCAATGATATTGAACTTTTTTACTATTTGAATGCCTACATTATCCGTGGTCAGTAGTCAGCTCTTAAAGCCGATCGTACTGAATTCCTATGCGTCTAATTGCAGAAACTCATATAATAAAAATAGAAAAAGGAATTGGTATCGCTTTAATTCCTATCAGCCGTGGCCTGCTGACATTTCAAAGAAACTATTCACCAGTATTCCTATGCGTCTGACAGTCACCAAAGCGGTACACAAGAAAGGACAGAAGAAATGGTTATAGATATACAGTGTCATTGCAATTTAAACAGTAGCCGTGGTCAGGCGTACCCTCTGTAGAGAACCAATCCCCTGCAGTCCAATGCGTCTAACTGCTAAATATACCTAAATGACGTTAAAAGAGATTTATTTTTCCTTACGATAGTTGCAATTAAAAGAAAACATAGCGATAACGATAAACAAAAATGTAGCTAAACTACAAAAGGGAAAAAGAAATTTAATTGCGACTAACGTACGAGAAGCTATTGTTGGAAAAGACTAAAGATTTTACTGCAGAAAAGAATAAAAAGTGTATCAGTCATATTTATGTTCTTGTGAAGCCTAACATTTGAAAGCCAAAAATACGAAATAAAATTGACAACTAAAAGTTGGGCTCCACACGTTGGGCGCCAAAATAATAAATGAAATTATAACTGTAACGGGTATAGGACATATCCCAGTAGAGTAGGCGAGATGGTGTGTGTATGTTGGAGAGCGCACGCTATATGTTCCGGCTCGGGCTCGTCGGCTAGTGGGTGGTGTTCGAGGTCTCTCCAATCATACGGCCTTTCATTAAGCTTATTATTTAAAGTTAAAGCGTGCTGTGGGGAAGCCAAAAAAAAACCGGTAAAGATATACATGAATATGACTAACAAAAGGATCGCGGGTTGGCAGACCACGTAACACAAGTGAACACACCTCTGGTATTCCCCTGATGGTGTTGAGGAAGTATTGGCCCACCCATCCTTGGTCATTTATATCCAAAAACAATTATGCAAATGACCCCTTTGAACCTCTACATGCTGTGGCTAGCGGAAATCAATGTTAGGCGGAATTTAAGCGAACATTATAAACTTTTTATTAAAAACTAAAATCATAATTTTCAAGGAATTCCAAAAAAAAGTGACCGTACATTAACCGATAATAGAAATCTAAAGCTAATTATCACTGGATTCGTAGCCAGTAGCAGAATAGGTAAACATATGACTGCCTTAAAATACTAGTGTAAATATAAATTGAGCAAGGTGAGTAAAGCAACGGCTTGGCTGTAAGAGATGGTTAATAATTGAAATGGATCGTAATATAATAGGAAAAAAATTTGATGTAAGAGAAAGTGTTGATATTTAAAGTGTTATAAATTCTTGCATCGCTTTTTTTTTTTTTTGTAAAGATTGGCCATAAATTTAAGTAAGTAATGACCGCAATCAAGTATAACGTTATTACGGTGATTTAAAAAAAAATAATAATAATGCGGAAATTAGACTTTACATGGCCAGCAGGCAGACATATGACGCATATGAACAGGTGTTTTATTTATTTTTTTTTTTTGTTTTTGTACGCGTGCTCTTCTGCATGAAAGTAAATAAAATTCAAACGGTTCTACTTACAGTTGTCGTCCAACGTCGAAAGATCTTTCCGTTGAGGCGCTCTGCATAGGCTCGTTGCTGCTTACATGCACATTAATTATGATTTTTAATTTGTTTGTAAAATTTTATGTTGAAATTTTGGTTTTAAAAACATGCACTTTTCATACCTTCACTTGTCGCCATGCTTAATAAAATTTTATTTCGAAACGTATAGTCAAAGGGGTTTTTATTTGTTGTTTTGCCTTTTTTTTTTGTTGCCTTCTCTTTTCTTTTTTTTCTCTTTGGTTTTCACTTATTTCTTTTTTTTCCCTCTCTACACACCCGGCCGTGCTGCTTTGCTCACATCGGATATAGATCAATTTAAGTATAAGGCCGTATACGACCCAAAAAAAAAGAATATAAGACGAAAGAATAGAAAAAAAATAAATGCCTAGTTCTCTCGGTTGCACTTTTTTTGTTGTTTTTGCAGGGCCCACATTTGTGTATAGTTTTACATATATATAGTTTTTATAATTTTTTTTTTTTTTTTTACGCAGGCCCTCTTCACTAAAGCCACCTGGGGCTTCGCCACCTTTTCGGTGCACGGAAACGCAACAAAAAAAACAGGTGCCCTAGCTTAAGCCGACGACCGTCATATCGGATATGATCCACGCAACTGAGGCGGTGATTCTTTTCGCCGTTCCAGTGGCCTGAGCGAAGCGCCGATCTCGTTTCTAGCACGCCTCCTTCTCCCGTGCACTTCCCTTTTCCTAGTCGTCGCTCTAGCAAGTGCCCATCAAAGCGATAAGCAAAGGTTAATGCCCTTTATGGGGATTGGACTTTTTATTAAGTGCCAATTCTGCACGAAAACAATGTACAATGAAGAAATAGCATTAGCTTTTGCATTTTATATGCGAATAAACGGAAAAAGTAAAATTTACCCGATATCCGGAAGTGGCACCAGGCAGAATTCCTTTTGCTAACACAATTGAAGTGAAAGATTACTGCAAATTCTCCAAATTTGTTGCAGCAGGCTTAACGCTTTGGCCCAGCCGAATTTGAAACGGACTATAGGTTATACTATATGTATGACCATATATTTGCCAGCCAGAGTATATTGGGCACAACCTGCTCCCATGCGATCTTCAAGCGAAAAGAAAGTATCCGGATGCCGAGGCTACGCAAGAAAACTTTTCTTTGCGGAAATTGCTTCACCCCCTCTTCTGACAATCTCCCTTTGACAGGTCAAGGTTGAAGAAAGGGCCACTGACAACTAGCAAATATTGCCACTGAGCAATACTGAAAATAACCCATAGGTGGCCGATAGCCGTGCGGCTGCAGAAAATAATTTTTTTTTGTACATATATAAAAACAATTATGGAAAATTTGTTTGTTTCGTCTGCTAAGGCAAGAATAATAAAAAATGCGATCATAGGCAGTTGGCGCTAAGACGAATCGCCAATTCAAACCGTAACTAAACAAGCAGTGCGTAAACATAAATAGCCAATGAACTGCTTGACTAAGGGAATGCAATTTAATTTACGATATTCGCCGCCAGCGTCGTTACAATGTCTGCCGTAAAATGCGCAGCTATGTAAATAAACACGAATTGTTGATAAATAAGAAATGAAGAAATGAATCTCGTTTTCTGCACAAGAGTGTCTGTGTGTGTGTGTGTGTGTGTGTGTGCATGTGTATGGGTCTCTTTGAATATGTCGCGCCCGCAGCGCTTTGACCCGCCAGTCCATTTAGCTGGGGCCAGCCAGTTCGACAACTTTCTCGCTGTCTCGCGCCCATCCCAATCACAGTCACCATGGCAGTCACAGTCCAAGTCTTCGCACAGTTGCCCCAAATCCGAGATGAGCAAATTAAAATGTACATGAGTAATGCATACCCTACAATCGTGATCATGATGTACAAGTATGTAGCATAAGTTGTCGAAACGAGAAAAGATCTAGAAAAAAATGCTACTGATCTTCATATTCTGCATTTCAAATTAAATTCCTTGCAGTCTGTTCATCGTAACTTCATATTCCGTTATTTAACTCGAAGCTACATTAAGGGCACAATTGTATTTACCAAATTTTTATTGTTTGTGGATCCTCTTAATAAGCTCTGGATACAAAATTGCACTTCTTTTCGGATGATAGTCTGTTACATTATAGGTACATGTATTCAAATATCTCTGGTTTTTCAAACAAACCTATGAGTAAACCAATCAAATAAATAAACAATTAAAACTCTTCACATGCTATAGGCTATTATAGTCGAATAAATACCAATATGAGTTGAGTCTGAACCAATCTCAAGCTGAAAATCTTCGATAAATGTTCCTAAAACAAAATCTGTATTGGAAGTATGTATTCGAACAATTGTTCGCTTGACTCTGACATTCATTTTGTTCTTAACAATTATGGCTATCATACTTGAGTGATTGATTTAAAGACTTCAGATTTATTTCAGAAAGCAGAACGTCCCATTTTAGCGTCCAAGCAGACATACTGTGATCGTTTTTATTTAGGTTTTTAAATGAGATTTTTTAAACTAAAGTCTTTCTTATGACAGATTTTATTAAGATATATAGTACATCACTAATTTATTTAAATATTCCGAGCTGGTTCTCTCACTCAAATATATGCTTGGTTTTTACCTTAGTGGAATTGCTATTGGTGCCACTGTGCGGCGCCGCAGCCGCAACAAAAGCGCAGCCAGAACTTGGTCAAGTGGCCGCCAGTAGCTTGGCTTGGGCTGTAAACGGGTTTCAGTCAGGTTTTACGATTCAACGGCAACGTACGGCGCAAGTTGAAGACGAAGAAGCAGACACATAACACTCGCTGCATAATTGGAAAAAATTAAGATACAACTGCAACATCAATAACACGATACAAACGTTGACAATTATGATGCTGATGAGACGTCGTGTATTCGGGATGAGGGCAGCTCAGTTACTACTTCTGCTGCTCTGTATAGGTCAGCTGCAGGGGGCGGCGATAATCTGCGGCAGCAACGGGAATCCGAGTGGCGCCGCGAAGGCATCGTCTACCGGTGATGTGGACGGTGAGAGCACCACCGTGGCATCCGCTACCAAGCCATCAAGTGAAGTGAATCAGTTTCTGCACAATGTGCAGTGCACCCTGGAGAAGGCCAAGCCCTGGATTGAGGATTTGGAGAAGGAAGCCAAGCGCTTAGAGGAGACAGCCAAGCGGGTGGGATTGAGTATTATCAATCGCTTTGGGGATCTGATGGACACACTCCTGGGTGCGGCCAACAAACGCCCAACATTGTCGGCAAACGGAACTAGCACCAGCACCAGCACAAGCTCCAGCTCCAGCCCCAACCCAAGTGAAGATAAAAGTGATTGTGGCACCTCCACTGAGGCGCATGTGGAGCAGATGATGGTCACGGCTCAGTCCCCACCACCACTGCCACCACTGATCAGTCTGGACGATGCCAACGATTCCGACAACGAAATTTCCATTGTTGAGCCAGCAGAAGCCGAAACGAGGTTGAAGTAAATCCTAAAAAGAAGAAGAAGCTTAATTATCTTATTTATTCATGGTAGTTGTAAATGTAAGCAATAATAAAGATGTGTGTGCACAGATAGACAACAAATCTTAATTTCTGGATTAGAGCATTGCCTGATTAAGAAGTGTCGGGCTGGGAAAAGAAACACAAATTTTAGTCCATGACAAATCAGCTAATTACCTGAGTTCCTAATTACAGCATACAAAAGTTTATTGGCAGCTACTTTTAAGTTGGAACGAGCTAAAATCTTTTTATCGATATTTTACTGACTTTTGAAACGACAAGTTTTAGACGAAAAATCTCCACCACCGCACACTGGTCCCAAGTTCAAATTGTTTAGCATAAAAACCCTTTTGGCTTGGCCAAATTTATAGTGCCTAAAAAACCCCTTTCTGGCTGGGTCAAACCCTATTTGCTGGAATTGCTACTGCCTCGGGGAAGTATCAGCGCTTCGTTTCTTTGTCGGCTGTACTCTTCTATTCGGTGGCGACTTCAAGCTCCTTGCGCCGGCCAGATTCCTCAGAACAGACTCCGCATTGCTAATCCATAGACAAGCTGCTAGTTTTCCACCCATGTGTTAGGCACATACAAACCACTCTATGTTTGTTTTTTGGAGCAGAAACGTGGCAATAAAAATGTCTAATTCTGCGACACAAGAAGCCACTAAAATTTACTTGCGTGCAAATTTCATTTCGCTGGTCCATCGCTGACTAAGTTGTCGCAGCCAAATCAAACATAAAAGAAGCGTCAAGTTGCTAAAGGGGCTACCGTCAAAAATGATTATTTACGGTACGCCAAGGTAGGGTAGGGTATGCCAGAATAGGGTAGAACAACATCTTATACCCTGGGAGAAATTTACTCTGCATTAGTCTGTCTTTTCGAGATAAGATACCCCGTGAATACATATATAACCGAACCATTGGGCCCGGAACTCATTTGGCCAATAGCGAGGCACCCACGGTGATATAACGTTGTGCACACACATTTATATATTCTTATCTCGAAATTATGAGGTACAATGTGTAGTCAGTGGGAGTTCCATTTTTTCGAGTTAAGATAAGCGGTGAATATATAACCGAGCCATTGGGCACGGAATTCATTTTACCAATAGCGAGGCACAAAGCACGTTGTACAGAGTTGTGAGAAAACCATTACTTCTTCAGTAAATGCAAATTCAATGGTTTAACCGTTGAATGAAATAAAATTATGGAAAGAGAATTATCTCTGAATTGACGGCTAACTTTTGCGCTGTACGAAAATGCGTAGCTCTGTGTGGACGATAATTATGTGAGTAAAGTGTGAGTTTTTTGGTTTTATTTGTATACTAAAAATAAATAATAGAATCCATAAAAATTGTTCTACTAAATTGCATTATTAGGCTTGCTAACACTTACAGCAGCCATGACAAATAATAAAAAATGAATTAAAAATTTTAAAATGAATGCAAAAATAGGCTCCTAGCTTCTTTTCCGTAACCAAAGGGCATAATAGTTTCGTGCGCATATAATATGCACAGAAGAGTTGATCCCGCTCGTCGTTAGCTTTCACCTTTTGTTTTATATTACAAATTTGTATGAAAAATCGATGTATATATATATATATATATATATAAAGTTTAGATTAAATAGTCCAGCACTTCAAATTTACTACGAATATATGAAATTAAAAAATTAAGTGTGCACACTTCATATTTACTAAAACACACTGTAGTGAAAAATCGATGGTAAAAATAGTTAAATCTACGTGTAAATATTTAAATTTCGTTGCATTTTTTTTATCAGTGTACTAAATATGGTGCTTAAATATAGTGCAACATTAAATTGAGCATGACACACTTTAATGATAGATTTACACGTTGCTTAAAATATTATTCATATTTAAATCAGTAATTGAATATGTTTTTAGTTTAATTTACGTGTTTAAATTTGTTTTAAATACGAAATATTGAAACATTAAATTAAATAAGTATTCTTTTTTACTGTGCAAATTTTTTATGAGACAAAAAACATATTTAAATTGACTTTTCTTTAGGTAGTACCTGCACAATGCCACATACTTTATACTAAACACAAAACTCTTAAAAATGTTCAATTTTTGCTTTTTTGTGCAAAGTATGTAACAGGCAGTTTGTCCGTACTGACTGACTGACTGACTGACTGACTGACTGATTGGTGATCAACGCACAGCCCAAACGGTAAAAGCTAGGAAGCTGAAATTTGGACTTAAGTATCCTCTCATAGTGTAGGCTGGCGATTAGAAGGGATTTTGGAAAAGGGGGGAAATCGTGCTCCAAAGCTTGCATGAAAAATCCTCATTTTTCTAAGAAGGGATTTTGGATTTATTATTTAAATTTTCTGTTAATTGCATTCAAACTTCGATGGAATTATTGATTGTATCGACGGATTCAACTATCGATAGTTTTGATGCTCTAGCACATAGAGCATCCGACACATGCCCATCTCAGGTGATCGCATATTTACAGCGACTTGCCGTTTTAGTGTTAGCTAACAACGCTACAAATGTATTCTGAACAAATCTAATAGTCATTTACCGTTAAGCCTATTTTGTGAGTGTATTCATGCAATTTACAAAAGCAGAAACACACCTTTTACATTCACAACAATCATATTTGGAATTGGAGACACAAATTAGTGTTGAATTAAAAAATTTAATACATACTTATATATGTATGTACGTATGTATGTATATAGACGGATAACGCCTGCATGAAAAATTTAAATGTATGTACATATCAGCGTTGGCGAACGCTCCAATTTCGGCGGGACGTGCAGATTTATAAATCAAAATTAAATGTATATAATGTATATACATTTATATAAATGTATATACAAGGTGCAATTCAAAAGTTCCAGGACTTTATTAAAAAACGAAAACTATTTTTATTTTTTTTTAAATTTATTGGTCGCCTTCAAAATAGTCTCCTTCCGCCTGAATACAACGTTTTGCACGTTCATTTGTCGGTATAGCGTTGAGGATGGCGGTCGCCGCCTGTTGGATGGCATCAACGTCAGCATAGCGGTTTCCTTTCATAGGCAAATGCATTTTTCCGAAAAGGTAGAAGTCGCACGGTGCCATATCAGGTGAAAACGGCGAGTGGTTAATGGTTAAAATGTGATTTTTGGTCAAATAATCGGTCACAAGCGTCGATCGATTCTGAGCAATTTTTGGTCGTCAGTCAATTTGTGCGGAACAAACCGTGCACACACCTTTCGTAAGCCCAAATGTTCGGTCAAAATGCGATAAATCGATATTTTGGAGATGTTCAATTCCATTTCCATCAATTTCAATGATGATTTTGGCTGATGTTTGATGAATTCACGCACAGTTTCGAAGGAATTTTCGGGGATCACGAATTTTGATTGGCCCAAATGTTGATCGTCATTTATGTCCTCACGACCACTCGTGATTACGGCTACGGGATAGACAATCATCGCCATAAACTTGTTTCATCATTTGATGAGTTTCGGTAAAAGTTTTACCAAGTTTAAAACAAAACTTAATGTTGGCTCTTTTCATTTTCCGACCAACACAACACACAACACACACAACACTATCCACTTGACGGATAAAAATTTCCAACACATGGCGCCACTAGGAGCCGCGCTATTTAAAAAGTCCTGGAACTTTTGAATTCCACCTTGTACATATACATGTACGTATAACCATATATAGTACTTATTGTACTATATTTGCTTTTTGGAAAATGAACTCATTAAAAAAACTTTAGAGAGCGTCGAAAGAGAATATCATATAGTAAATGAACTTTTAATTATAAGCATATTTTACTTAACCCAGCAAAGACGGGCAGGACCTGCTAGTGAAGTATATGTATTCTTAATAAGCGAGACGAGACGAATCGATCTAGACATGTCCGTCCGTCTGTCCGTGCAGCTGTCTGGATGAATGCAAGGATTTCAGAAAGTATAAAAGCTGGAATAACCAAAGTTGTTATCCAGATTCTCCTAGGTCCGAGAAAGAACGAGTTTATTTTATTTTTTAAATCAACCCACCCCCCCCCCCCCCCTTTCCACCATCCTCCTCTACTGAATTTCGTCAGTACTATCCATTTTTCTAAAGCTACATAACCACACACACGTTTTCTCTTGTTTTAATATTTGCAGACCATGTATGTTGTTTCTGCTAACGCTAGCGCATGCGTGTGTGTTCTGTGGAAATAACCATTGTGAAACACATAGTGGTCAGCCATGCCCCAATGAAAAATCGGAAGACAGGCCCAACTCACAGTCTCTGGCTACCAAAACCAATTCACCCGATGAAGCCTCGCCAGATTCGCAAGGTGGCCTTAAAGTTGAGGAGACAAAACCGGTAGAAGACCCCAACTCACAGTCTCCGGCTACCACAACCAATTCACCCGATGAAGCCTCGCCAGATTCGCATGGTGTCCTTAAAGATGAGAAGACAAAACCGGTAGAAGACCCCAACTCACAGTCTCCGGCTACCACAACCAATTCACCCGATGAAGCCTCGCCAGATTCGCATGGTGGCCTTAAAGATGAGAAGACAAAACCGGTAGAAGGCCCCAACTCACAGTCTCTGGCTACCGCAACCAATTCACCCGATGAAGCCTCGCCAGATTCGCAAGGTGGCCTTAAAGATGAGGAGACAAAACCGGTAGAAGACCCCAACTCACAGTCTCTGGCTACCGCAACCAATTCACCCGATGAAGCCTCGCCAGATTCGCAAGGTGGCCTTAAAGATGAGGAGACAAAACCGGTAGAAGACCCCAACTCACAGTCTCCGGCTACCACAACCAATTCACCCGATGAAGCCTCGCCAGATTCGCATGGTGTCCTTAAAGATGAGAAGACAAAACCGGTAGAAGGCCCCAACTCACAGTCTCCGGCTACCACAACCAATTCACCCGATGAAGCCTCGCCAGATTCGCAAGGTGGCCTTAAAGATGAGGAGACAAAACCGGTAGAAGACCCCAACTCACAGTCTCTGGCTACCACAACCAATTCACCCGATGAAGCCTCGCCAGATTCGCAAGGTGGCCTTAAAGATAAGAAGACAAAACCGGTAGAAGGCCCCAACTCACAGTCTCCGGCTACCACAACCAATTCACCCGATGAAGCCTCGCCAGATTCGCATGGTAGCCTTAAAGATGAGAAGACAAAACCGGTAGAAGGCCCCAACTCACAGTCTCCGGCTACCACAACCAATTCACCCGATGAAGCCTCGCCAGATTCGCATGGTGGCCTTAAAGATGAGGAGACAAAACCGGTAGGAGACCCCAACTCACAATCTCACAATTTGTCACCGAATATACCGACGATTTTTTTTATTAGTATTGGTATTATTATTATTTTTGTTTTACTAGTTTTAACAATTTTCTATGTCTGTAGGACTCAGTATCGTCGGTCTACTAATGATTTAATGGGTGCCGAGAGCGTAGCCTTGAATCCAATCGGTGTCACAGAGTCAATTGTGTAGGCAGGATTTAGTCCGCGAGTGGGCGTGGAATGAAATTGGAAATTTAGGCATTGGTTTGTTTCCTTCTTATACTCTGTAGGTTTGCGGGAGCTGAAAATGTGACAGGCAGAAGGAGGCGTGGCAGACCCCACAAAGTATATATATTCAGAATATATATACTTTATGAGGTCGGAGATGCTTCCTTCTGCATGTTACATACTTTGCACAAACCCGTAGGGGTAGGGGTACAGGGTATTTTTAATCCCATTTAGGCTATTTTATTCTTCAGCTTTATTTAGTTTAAGTTCTCTATTGTATTGATGTATTGATTTACACCGAATTAAAAAAAAAGTCAAGTTGAAATGCATTGTTAACGTTTTTTCTGCTTATATGTTTCTATGATTTGTGAAAATAAATCTAAATCTTAACTAAATCATGACGCTTTGTTTTTACAAAAGTGCTGGGCGGGAGGTGTGGAGTGGGGGCTACAAATCAGCTGGACGGCAAACCGGTTCAGCAGCTTAATACCGTCAGCGTTGTTTCGATTGCGATTGCGGCGTTTTGTTCGCGAACCTACCGCATAGAGATCAGTCTCATTCAAAAGCTCGAGCCGCAGAGTCGAGTTTGAAATCGACAAGTGAAGAAAAAGCGGAAATTCTAAAGTGTATACTAAAGAGAGATGAAAGCTATTGCTACCTGCTCCCTCCTGCTCGTGCTGCTGGCACTCACCAGCAACACTTGGGCCGCCGATTGCGATGAGGCGAAAAATCCAGATGATAGCGACTTCAAGCACTTCTTCAAGAATATCGGTTGCAAGGTGAAGCAGGGGGCAGAGGATGTGGCCGAGGCGGCCAAGCCCTATGCTGACAAGATTGGCGAGGGTGCCAAGGACTTTGGTAACACTGTGGCTCAGAAATACGATCAGTTGAAGCATCGTCTGACGGACGATGCGCCCTCCTCCACCACATCGACAGCGTCCTCAGGCGCCGCCCCTGTGCCCGTTGCACCCACCGAGCGCGTACCCTTGGCACCAATCGGTGGCCCACAGTCCAGCCCCATTTTGAATGCTGACTCAAAGCCAGCACGTCGCTAACTAAATCAATCAAAAAACAAAAAAAAAACGCTTATCAAAGTTCATTTATAATAACAACTCATCTATCTAGAACAACTTCTAGTGACTCAAGCTTGTTTAAATTTTTTTTTAATGTATGTACATATGTATTATACATATACATATGTATACATAATGTATACAAGTATATATGAAAATATAATGCTATCTCTTCCTCAATAAAAATCCACACGTTTAAATGAATACACCTAGCCCTCGCTGAACGCTAACTCTTTTAATGCTAACTCGGTCTAATGCGATTGCAAAATTGCTACCTTTTCTCTTTTAACGCGGTGAAATACCTCGTTCTAACGCGATTGAAACAAGTAAAAAAGCTGTTTACAATAATTATAGAAAACGAAAAAAATTAAGAAAATTAAAAAAAAAAATTGATCGAATTTACCTTTCTTGGTATTTGAACTCACGTAAAGGGTGTATAATTGCACATTTACATAGCAATTGCGTCTGTGTGAGTGTATGTATGCCTATGCGCATCTATTCGTGTCTGTGTAAACATGTTAGCATGTTATGTACTTCTGTACATTTCATGTAAATAGTATAAAAATTGGGTTTTTTATTTTGTCGATTATTGCATGAGTATCTTTGGGTATAGTATGTATCACCACACATGTGTGTGTAGAAAAAAGAAGTCCCACTTTCTACACTATCAGAGTAGGAATGAGTTCATACTTATAAATAGTTGCTAAGGTGAGCAAAACAAACGCGCAAATAGTAAGATTAAAATTCTTGTGATAAGTGAAATTGTTTAAAAAAATTTAATTACTAAAGCTGCTATAAATGCCACTAAATGAATTTTCATTTTATTTTAATACATATGCATTTTATGCGATTTCGCTTGACACGACGTTTTCAAGGAACGTAACCCCCGCGTTAAGCGAGGGCTAGGTGTATATATATTTATGCATTATGTGTGTGTGTGCGTGTGTGTGTATGTATGTCTACGTTTTCAGAATTCCGAAGTGGAAACTGTAAAGTTAAATTGATAAATATTTTTTACTTCCGATACGCTGCCAGAACCTGCAATTACTCTAAGTGTATACAATTTGTTTTTTTTTTTTTTTTTGTTTCTCTATGTGGTAATTTGTTTGCGTTTTACTTTTTGTTTTCGTTTATTTTTTCTATTCGCCTCTGTTTGTTTGTTTGCTGTTTTGATGTTGCTGCCAAGCCAATTTCAAAGTATTGCCGCATTAGTGCTCAACGCTCAATGCTCGACCTCCGCCTCAGTTTCAGTTTCTGTTTTAATTTCAGTTTTTCTAGTCATGTCGACATTTTTCAAATCAATAAAGCGCTCACATTCGAGCTCTAACTTTGAATTATGCGCCTAATTACGCAGTCAGTCGATTCCGAGTATTTCGACTCAACCTATTTAATACGAGTATATGTACATATGTATGTATGTATGTGTAATGCGTGCTTGTAGTTGCAACGTAAATCTTACGATTCTTATCGGCATTACCTAGCCTGTAAGTACACCCGAGGCTTGGAATACGTAAAGGGTTTGTTATAGGAAGGTCCTTTCGGGACATAATAAAGCTGTAGCTCAGGATTGATAGCATTTGATTTGTTGAAAGAGTGGACAGAATATATGGTACGGCATTACATTTTAGTTGTATATGGATAAATGCTTATCATCAAACTGTATGTTATATACATATAATTGATAAACTACTATGTACTACACTATGTACGAGTATTTGAGTGTGTACGTAGGCAGCAATTGCTGTGCAAATTACTCGTAATTGCTGTAATAACGACAAATGAGAGTACGACAAATATAAATAATTGATGGCTAAGGTTGCAAACAAAACATCAATGCCAAAAACAAGAACCAGAGAACTTATACAAAACAATTAGGGCAATCAACAGTCTAAATCAGATCTATAAACAAAGCAGCTAGCATATGGAAATCAAGCTGTGTGCAATCAACAATCCGCACAGCAGCCACAACAACAAAAACAACGACTACAACAACGACCAGATTGACGATAATGACGATGACTGCGACAATAAAAAGTGAATAATGAATCGAATTAGCACTTTCAACGAACAGCCTCAAAGTGAAAATTTGTATTCAAATTGTATTTGGCGTAAGTCAATTTGATTATAGCACGAATGGGCGACTTCAACGAACCTATTCCTGTAGAAATATTCCATAAATTTGTTTGAAATCGTATATTCCGATTTTCACCAAATGTATAACACGAATCGAATTCACATCATTAGCAATACAAGTATAACTATTTATTTCCACAAAATTATTCGTCGGAGCTGCGATTTGTTCACTCCATACTTTTGTGACCTCAACCCTCCGATCAAAAGTAAATCTTCACGAAGATGTAAATCACAACAAAGATTTGACGCAAAAAAGAAAATCAAAAACTTTGTGCGTAAATCGATAGCAAAGATGGGAATTACAATCCAAAGTAACGAGAAAACTCAGTCAATCATTGAATTTACAAAATGTTCAAATCATTAGAGCAGTCGGGGGCTATCGCCCCCATTTCCCTCACAGCCTAAGTCTCTCTTGACGAAATCAATTAATATCGAAATATTTGTATAAACCTTTTTAGGTTTAATTTAGGTATTGCCTTTTCTTAAAAAGCCATTTTAGGTTTTGGTACATAAATATATACACATATATATCCTTTAAAAGACGTTTAAAGAAGGTTACATTCGATCGCGGCGAATTCAAGGCGATGATTCATTTCAGAACCGAAGGCGATAAGTGCGTTTAAAAATAGCTATGCGTAGTATGTATGTGCATGTATAAATAATTGTAGTGCGGTAGATGAGTCATTATATACTAGTTTCGTGCGAATGTATGTAACAGGCAGAAAGAGGCGTAGCAGACCCCACAATGAAAATATATTCTTGATCAGGGTGAAAGCCGAGTCGATATAGCCATGTCCGATTGTCCGTCCGTCCGTTTGGTTTGGCACCAGTAGCTGTTTTTTATCTTATTTTATCTTATCTAATCTTAATATCACGATTTAAAAGCAGAAATAGAAAAAATTTCTATACGTATACTAAGTTTTATTATGATAAGTTGATTAGAAAGAAAGTTATAGCCATGTAACCAGGCCCAAACTCTGGCCGCAGCTGTATTTGTTGGTACTTTGACATAATTATGTAATGCACATATATGTAATACATATGTACAAGTACACCAACACGAATAGACCCGATTCTGATGTGAATGTAAATGTATGCATGCATGTATGGAATATTTTATATTTAATTAATTAATTAAATTTTTTGAATACATTTTTTTTGGTGGGATACAGGGTACAGGTTATTTAAGAGTTGAGCCTGCTCGACTTTAGCATTCCCTTTTTGTTTTTATTTATTTATTTATTTATGTCAACAAACTTTGACTGTCGACATAGGAAATAGTACATCAAAATTATAAAAAGAAAAGCCTAAGAAGGAGAAATCTAATCAAATTACAATAATATATAATTAACGCCTCCGACCCGGTGGGGGAATATTCTTTGCCAGCCATGTGTGGTCAGAGGCGTCAATAGATCTACCGATAAAAAAAGAAAAACTTAACAGAGAGAAGAAGCTTAGACAAGACATTTGCCTAAGAAAAGAAACAGTGGACATAGAAGCCATTTTATTTGAATTATATTCCACACACACACACACACTTGCATTGCTGCCTCCCCTTTTAAATAATTTATTTTTCCACCTTTGCCTATCATTGTTGCCCATTTTCCACAAATGTTGCGGCCTTGCATTGGCATCGAAATAATGTCAATAATACATATTGTATGTATGGGTATACTTGTATAGTAATATTGGTGATGATATTTGGCTGGCAATTGATTTCTATTAACTGCCAATTGACTTTGTTGTTCAACTTTAATTGCCTAAATTCATGTTACAATGCGAAAGGGCGACAGGATCCTGCCAACAATAACCAAACCAAATAAATAAATTTGCATTTTAATGCATTCTTCTTTGTTTTTCTGGACCGACGTTGGTCAAAATGCAATTAAATTCTAAAAATGCATTAAGATACTTTTGTAATTTGCTAATTATGCGCATTACAAACACAACAACAATAACAAAACAAAAAAGCAGAAGGCCAAAAAAAGCAAACAAACTAATAGGGACGGAGTGTTGTAGGAACAGGTAAGCTGACTTGGAATGGTGTTGGGGAGGTGGACGCTTAAGCTACATGCCATTGCGTGTTGTCCTTACAACCAGTTGTTGTTGCAATTGTTATTGTTGCTTGGTTGTCATGGACGTGCTCGCTGTTGTTGTTGTTGTTTTTATATGCATTTGTTGCTGCCACTGTCGCTGTTTATGATTTATTTACGACGTCGCGAGTTCGCGAACAGAAGCCAATTCGCCATTTCCTTCCCTAGCTGCTGCCGCTTCTCTTCACTTCTGGGCAACTTTCACTTGTATGCATTTGATCGATGCATTAATTACATAATGCTGTCCACACACACACACATACGCACACACACACACACACCGAACGCGAGCGACTATTAGTATTTTGGTAGTTGGCCGACATTGCAAATTTGTTGCTCCAACAACAATTTTGAGTATGAAATAAAAAGAAGGTTAGTGTGAAAATATGTAATAGTCGAAATTGTGGATACCCCACTTTTTCAATTTTAAACATCATATTAATAAAAATGATTGGAATGATTCATAAATTTAGTACACAAACAAACAAAGAAATTGTGAAATTCGTCAACTATATAATGCTCCTTATCGAATTTGATAAAATAACGCCTACGTGCATTCGAGGGTTTAATTCATGGCGTCGCAAATGAACAATATGATTGGTTAGTCACATATGTATATGTATATGTATATGTATATGTATATGTATATGTATATGTATATGTATATGTATATGTATATGTATATGTATATGTATATGTATATGTATATGTATATGTATATGTATATGTATATGTAATGTACTATATGTATATGTTTCATAGCTGAAAATGTAACAAATTACGATTTGGTCGTAATATGTAATTCTTTGTAAGCTATATACTTGTATATTAAACATTTACATGTTTAATCTATACTATTATTATAAAGAGAAAATATTTGATTGTTTGTTTGTTTGAATTGAAAAGGCTCCGAATCTACTGGACCGATTTAATGGATTCCTTCACTGGATTCTTTCAGCTTCCCAAAGCTACACTATC